CCCAAATCTTCTCTTCTCTGGGCTAAACATGCCCGATTCCTTCAACCAGTCCTTGTGGGATCTGGGTTCAAGGCTATCCTCTGGAAACTATCCCACTTCCTAACACATTTCTTAAACCTCAGCACCCAGAATTATACATGATATTCCCAATGAGGTTTAATGAGAGCTTCATAACCCCCCATTCTTGTACTTGAAAAGTTGATTTTTGTAACCAAGTGGAAGACTTTATTTTTATCCCTATCAAATTTCATGTTACTAGATTCAGTCCAAAGCTCTGCCTTGCTAAGATGCTTTGGGAACTTGACTCTACCATCTGGCATGTTAGCCCTCTCTCCCAGCTTTGTGTCATTTGCAAACATGATGAACATGCCATCCATGCCTTTGTCCAGGTCATTGATAAAACATGTTAAATAACACTGGGTCAAGTGCAGCTCCCTAAGCTTTTCCACTGGAAATCTCCTGCCGTGTTGGTGTTGAACTGTTAACAATTACTTTTTGAGTATGGCCATCCAACCAATTCTGAATCTATTTGCTAATTGTCTAATTTATTGTCTCAGTGCCCCACAGGAAGAATTATTTTTTTTTATTTTTTATTTCATTTTTATAAAATTATTTTATTTTTATTTGTCAGTCAGTCATTTATTGTTGAGGGCCTACTATGTGCCAGAAATTATGATAAATTTACCCTACGGATATAAAGGAAGGCAAAAGATAGTTCCTGCCCTCTAGGAGCTCACGATCTAATGAAGAAAAACAACACTTAACAATAAGCTGTCAGAGGGGGAGAGGAAGAGGATGAAGTCAGTGGGGCATGATGAAGTCAGAGTGCATCTGGTGAGAAATGACATGACTGCTCTGGGCTCCCTCCCTAAGTGGAGAATCTGGGAAAAGCGCCCCCCCCCAATTCTTTCCAATCAGAAGGTGGGAGGAACCTCAGAGGAAGGTGTCCTGCGGAGTATGAGCTTCTGGGTTGATGTGACCTTGTAGGATGATGAGATTCTAATGAAATCCAAGAGTGAATCCCTATGTGAAATGTCTATATTCCCATTGATTCCCAGCATCTGTCACATAGTAGATAATAAATCAATTTTAAATTGAGTTTACTTGAATTTTATATTGTAGAGCAGAAGAAGAAATAGCTATAGGCCTGCCACTCCTAGAACCCTTAGCTAATGAGCTAAACAGTACTGTTAACCTTGTATGGCAAACAGGATCAAAGCTTTAGAACCAGAAGAAACCTCAGAGGGTATAGTCCAAAGCCTTTACTTTTTGTTGCTGTTCAGTCATTTCAGTTATGTCTGACTCTTCATGACCCCTTTTGGCGTTTCTCGGCAAAGATACTGGAGTGGTTTGCCATTTCCTTCTCCAGCTCATTTTACACATGAGGAAACTGAGGCAAACAGGGATAAGTGACTTGCCCAGGGTCATCCAACTAGTAAATGTCTGAGGCTGAATTTGAACTCAACAAGATGAGTCTTCCTGACTCCCGGTGCTCTAACCTCTGAACTACCTAGCTGCCCTTTATTTTACAGATGAGGAAACTGAGGCCTAGGTAAATTAAATGGCTGTCCAAGGTCATACAGATCAAGATTAAAAAGTGAGTATTCTGTAAGGTCCATTCCTACTCTATGAGGAAAACATTTTGCAAACTTTAAAGCATTATGTAAATATTAGTTATTATTCTAAAAACCTATAACATAGTCTTATTTAAATGAATTCAGCATACTTTTATTAAGTACTTACCCTGTGTAAGGCACAATGCGAGTATGGTCTTTTGATACTTTTTCCAGTATTCTATTTAATAGATCATCTCCCTTAAGCGATTATGCTAGAAGCATCTATCTAACCCTTGAACAAATACCATGACTATTTGGAGAAAGAAGCCCCTCCCCAGGCTCTAGAGCAAAATGCTGCTTATGATGATCATGTGGTTAACCTAACTAAAATGAATATTTACCACAGATGTCATTAGCAATCAATTATTCAAAAACATTTTTTAAAAAGCATTTCCAGTCTAATTGACCTTCTGGTGTAATGAAGTATCCACTCTTCAAGGATCTTCTGTACTTAGCATTCAGAACAGTTTACTCAAGCACCTTAATCATTAGCTTAATGCCCATGACAGACAGTCAAATCAGTCAGAACATTCCTATTTCCACACCTGGAAGATTATTCTCTCAGCCAAGACAGCCGGGATTTGGAGAGCAAGCCATGTAAACAGATTTGCATTCCTTCCAGGAGAGGGTGCTGCTGCGGTTATAAGTTTACTAATGAGATTCTTGGCATTTCTAATAGGTTTTTAGGGACAAGCCCTTTCCTGAGAACATATTCATTGCCCTCATTTTTCCATAAAGAGCAATCCTTCTAGAAAACTATGCTAAAACTCTGAATTGTTTTAGCCAGAACAAATCCTAGTATACTGGTCTAACAGCATGAACCCTTCAGTAAGTTTGCTAGCAACTAAACTATGGCGCTTGGAGCAAATCATTTAATCTTTCTAGGTCTCAGTTTTTGTTTGTTTGTTTGTTTGTTTTGTTTTTAATCAATGTGTTACAATGGACCCATTGGCTAAGAGGGATAGGGAACCTTCTCCCAACAAAGAGCCTCAGATCAGAGATCACATAAACAGGGGTCAGTCTTGGAGGAGCCTGGACCCAAAGAAGGAAGTCAACCTCTTCTTCATTGTCTCTGATTCATTACAACACCAGCCCTGATTCATTACAACACCAATTCCCAGCAGAACTCTAGGAATATCACTTTAAACACAGCTTAAGTTTGTCTCATTTCTTGTTGTTTGTCTTTCATACTCAAAGAGGACCATGACATCAGGAAGGTGATGCCATGAATTGCAAGTGAATTGGATTTAAACGAGAGAAGGTTGTGCAAATTCTCCCTTTGTCCTCCAGAGCCATCTGGGTCCAAGGCAAGATACAGATCAGGATGACTGGAGGTAGCCCCCTGTCTCATTTCTATGATCTCTCTCAAAGAGTTTCTTTTAGAAAGGTTCTCAATGTACAAAGTAGAGAACAGATATTTATTTCCACCACCACAAAAGAAATTCTTAAAACACAGAAGTTTCAGAAGTTCACACTGACAAAGACTTGACACACAAATCCACAACTCCTGTTAAATGCTTTGGGAAAGGCAGATGCTTAAACCATTAAAACATGAAACACTTAGTGAGACTATAGAAAATATTCCACTTTCATGTACTGTTTTGGAGATGGTCATCTTCACTGAAAAACATTGCTCCAGGAAGCACCTCACATAGGGCAGCCAGCATCAACTGAGAAAACCCAGGAACTCCCAAATTCCCAAGGTTAATCGAGATTAATCAGTTTTTAGTAACCTATGTCCACAGAGCAGCTAGGTGGTACAGTAGATAGAATGCTGGGGCTGGAGTCAGGAAGACCAAGTTCAAATCTAGCCTCAGACATTTACTAGTTGTATGACTCTGGGCAAGTCACTTTTTTGCTTCAGTTTCCTCATCTGTAAAATGAGCTGGAGAAGGAAATAAAACTGCTCCAGTATCTTTGCCGAGGAAGCCCAGAATCAGGTCACAAAGAATTGGACACAACTGAACAATAACAACAAATGTTCATAGAAAGAAACATAAAACATGAAAGGTAGTTAGGGTTTTGAAATTCAGGCACGGGCTCACCTGAATTAGCACATGTTCTTGCCGCAGTATTTGGACAACCACCATTGCTGACCTGGGAAGAAAGGAAGGAGAAATTCCTTTTCCTCTCTTCTCACAGGAAGTACAAGGGAGAGCTGTTGGAGTCTCAAGCCACAGTCAAAAGAGAAGACAAAAGAAAGCAAGACTGAAGTGTTTCTCACTTCAAAGTCTTCTGAAAGGGCAGCTCATACTGCTTGGTTACCAAACCTCTTTGATTTAGCCTCCTGTTATGAGAGAAGGCTGCAAGACAGGGAAAAGATATAGCTACAAACCAGATGTCTAACTGTAGAAGAGGCCTGAGCCTATGTTTGCCAGAAGCACCCAGGGCATAATCTCATCACTGAGCATATTTCATAGGATTCTTCCCTCCTGTCCCCACCTCTGACCCCAGGCCCATCCCCAAATACCTTCCATGGAGGGAACTTCAATGCAACCCCAATCCCCACAACTAGACTGCTCAGTGGGTAGAGCATCAGGCTTGGAGTCAAAAAGACCTGAGTTCAAATTCCACTCACAGATTATCTGTGTGATCTTGGGCGACTGATTCAACATCTGTTTCCTCAACTGTAAAATGGGGATAATACTAGCATCTACCTCCCAGTGTTGAGAGGATCAAGTGAGATATTTGCAAAGCTCTTAGCACGGTGCCTGGCACGTAGTAATTGTGTAGTAAATACTTTTCCCTTTCTCTCTCCCAACACATAAAAATATAGTTTTTAAAGACTTCATGGTCTTTAAATACTCTTTTAGCTAAGAAATGTTGTACTATCATCTTATCTGCACTGCCCTCCTCTACCTGTACATATATTCCCTAAAATTAACTCCATGGACATGGCTGGCTAGTCAATCTACTAGCTTGCTAGCTAATTTTATGAATAATAATTCTAAAAGTTATACATGTGCTTATAGTTAGCTATGGGCTTTATTCAGTGCTTTTCTTTCCCTATCAACTTTAGTGGCAAATCAAAGCAATGACTTCAATTTTCCTAATAGTAGTCAGTTTCATATAACAATAGCTGGCATTTATAGAGTGGTTTAAGGACAAAGTGCTTTACACTTATATTACATCATTTTACTCTCACAACAATTCTATGAGAGGTATATGTGCTATTGTTGCCCCCATTTTACAGATAAGGAAATTGAGGCAGGTAGCAGTTAAGTGACTTGTCCAGGGTCACACAACTGTCTGAGCCCAGATTTGATTGGAAGACGTTCTTAACTACAAGTCCTATCTCTATCCGCTATGCCACTTAGTTGTCAATTCTCACACTAATTTCTCTCATTTTTCTTTCTCTCTTTTCTCTGTTTCTACTTATTTCAGGTTCTTATTTTCTACCATTCTCCCCTCGCTATGCAATACCCCTTCCTGTGGCCAGGAGACAGGATTCCAGCGCCATGGGCCAATACAACATGCGTGAGGAAACTCATACTCTTCTTAGACACAACCCTTGGGGAAAGAGCTCCCCGTGGAGCTTTCCATGTGTCCCAAGCTATTCTCACACCCAGAGTGAAGACCATTGCTCGAGGCCTGGTTGGTGGCCTCAAGAACACACTAGTGCACAGGTAAGGATCTGCTTTGGTTCCACAGCCAAAGCTTTTCAATAACCTTCTTTACTTTGGTTCTGTATCATACAAAGCAGCACACCAATCACACTACTTTATTCATTCCTTTTCTGTAAATATAAATCTCTTACGTCTGAGCCAGGGTCATCCTGCCTGAAGGAACTCTAAAACTTCACTAAAACCTGTTCGTGGCAAGGAATCTTTGTAGAGTCTTTTGAATGACCCCTTAAGCAAATACTCTGTGTCCATCTGATGAATGACCTAGTTACTATCTGGCCACTGCCCCTGTGGTCTGTGACCAACCACAAAACAAAAAAATATTTCTCCATGGTGAAAACAAGACCTATGGACAAGCTATAACAATAGCTCTCTCAGCAAGTCCCTGCCCATTCCCCAGAGATGTAGGGAATGAAAAGTTATATGACTGTAAGTTGAAAGAGGCAAGGTGTTACGGTGGAAGGCTCTTGAAAGCAGAGTCTCGGGTTCAATTCCTAGCTCTGATAACTTTTTACCTGTAATAGCATTTATAAATCATTTAACATCCTAGGACTCAACTTGCTCATCTCTAAAAATGAAAGTTGGACTAGAGTAATCAATTAACAATCATTTTTAAGTATCCACGTATATAATACATATGTGTGTGTATAAGTATATATATATATACATACATATATTTAACAAATGAGACAAGGGCATATACAGCATAACTATGAAGAGAATTTGTGGTGTTCAGTCATTTTTTTTTTTAGTCATGTCTGACTCTTCATGACCTCATTTGGGGCTTTACTGACAAGGATACTAGAATGGTTTTCCATTTCCCCCTCCAACTCATTTTATAGATGAAGAAACTGAGGCAAACAGGGTTAAGTGATTTGCCCAGGGTCTCACAGCTAGTAATTGGCTGAGACCAGATTTGAACTCAAGAAGATGAGTCTTCCCGACTCCAGGCCCGGCTCTTTGTCCACTGCACCACCTAGCTGCCCCTACCTGTAGCACCATAAATAAATCACTTAACCTCCTTAGGACTCAACTTCCTCATCTCTAAAATGAAAGAATTGGACTAGATTAATTAATTAACAATCATTTTTAAGTACCCACTATCTTCCAAGCCCTGTGCTGTAGATATAAATATGATAATTTTTTTTTTAACAAATGAGGCAACAAGGACATATCTAAGTATACAGAGTATAACTGAAGAGAATTTGTTGTCATTCAGTAACTAAGTCAAGGTGATTTGGGGGGGCAAGAATTGAGGTGAACAAGTAAGACTTTATAGAGAAGTTGATGCTTAAGCTGCATCTTGAAGGAACCAAGGGGTCCTATGAGTTGGAGGTGAAAAGAGGGTAAATTTTAGGCATGGGGAGATCAGGTACATAGCCAGGGAACCTGGGAGAAAGAATGGCATGGGTGAGGAACAGAGAAAAGTCCAGGTTAGCTCTACTGAAGCATTCAGAAGTAGAAGGGGGAAGAATGTACAGCAAGGCTAAAAAGATGGACTGCGCACGAATTCGTGATTCCATGACAGAGTCTGGATTCCATGATCTCACAGTCCCTTTTCAGCTCTGAATTCTCAGTCTGAGTCATTTAAATGCTTTCTAAACAGTTCAGAGTCATCCTGATCACAAGGCCATAACCTTGATTTTTTGGTGGGGGGGTGTTGGGCAATGGGGGTTGAGTGACTTGCCCACGGTCACACAGCTAGTAAGTGTTATATGTCTGAGGTCAGATTTGAACTCAGGTCCTCTGGAATCCAGGATCAGTGCTCTAGCCACTGCGCCACCTGGTTGCCCCCATCACAGGGCCATAACACCACAGTGCAGGATACCCTTTGTCCATGGGAGGGATTGCTTCATATTAAGTGCCCCAAAGATGGACACCTGAGGTCCCCATTGACCACAAGGGCTGTTACATTATAAGAATCTTACTATTGACACAAAACAGGAAGCCATGTAGAGCACAAGTTAGAGGCCTCTAAGGAAGCATATGCAATTCTGGCAAAGAACTTATTCCAAATAGTTAAGTGTAGTATGAGACTAACTTGTCCTCTGGGCATAGAGACTGGAAGCACTGAGCTTCCAGCAACCTTCCCCTTAAAGGCATAGCACAGTCCCTCATATCAGATAAGGAATACAATAAAGCTACAAAACTGGAATTGGGCACTGTTTTTCTGACCAAATCCAACAGGGAAAAACTCTAAAGTGGGTTTGCTCAGTATTAAGTTGTTAACTTTCAGAGGCCTTAGATAAACAAGGCCACTGGCCACACACTCTTTGGTCTGGGCAAAAACCACTAGAAATACAGCCTCTTTGGCTGAATTCCTAAGGTAATTTGTACCAGACTCCCAGGAGATAGGACTTCCTGTTGGCAAAGACAAAATGAGACATTTGTGCACCCTAAACACAGGCAAAATTGTGCCCTACCCATTCCCACTCTTTGGAAAATTTTGCCTTTTATGTATTTTATCTACCAGTCTTTGCTGGTCGATAATGGGTGGGACTTGATTCACCATGTACTCAAAGGATGGAATTCACAACATCTATGACTTAGTAGATAAGCATTAGGCAGCTAACTGAGGCACGTAGACTTGCCCAGAGTTGCACAGCCAGCAAATTTTGGAGATTAGATTTGAATCCAGGACTTCTTGATTACAAGACCAATACCCTATCCACTATCCACAATGCCTCTTTTGAACTTAGTGCAAAAGAATTGCCTAGGAGACAAGAAGAAGTGAATTTTCTGGCATTTATAAAAAATTAAATACATGCAATTTTAAAAAGTAATATTTAACGCTCTTTATTATGTGCCATTCCTCCCTTCTAATCCACATTGTGTCCTAAACAACTTTCTTTCCTACCTCTTGTCTCTATGATCTCTGGAATGAAAAGAAAGCATGGTTTTGCTTGAAACAATGAGTAAGGCATCTTAGGAGCAACAGAAGGGCTGTCCATTGCTGCTTAGAGCACTATTTAAAGTCAGGTTCCTCCAATAACTTTCAAGATCATTGGCAAGTCTTCACCTCCTTACCTTATAGTCTTTGAGCTGCCACTGAAGTCCATTATTACTGTTATTATTATTATTTATCAAAATTCATCCTTCTCTCTTACCTGAACATCCTGGATCCTAATACTGACAGATTTTGCCTTTGGTGGGGGGGAGTGGGGAAAGAGAAAAGTGTCTGAGATATTTCTTTATTTCACTTTCCTTTCCTTCTTTGTAACCCAAGCTTTGGAACAAAGTCAGCATATGCAGCCTGAAACCTGAAACAGAGTTCTTTGTCTCTGTTGGCCATAAAGAAATACAATACTTTCCTCTCACTGCTTGACCTCTAGCTCCAGGGATCTGGGATTTTGCCACTGACAGATGATTTACTTGCATTTTCTTACTCTGAGCAGGAAGGGGCGCTTGTGTTTTATTTTTTAAAGTCTGCCACTGTTGTGGATAGAGCTATGAAATTTCTCCTGAAGCTCAGTGTTACTGCATCTTTTCAGTAGGTGGAGTTTCAATGCCCTCTTTTCTACAAACCAGTAGAGTTTACATTTCTCATCATCACCGTTTCTTCAGGCCTGCCAAAGTTAACCAGATCTTGAAGGCAGCCTTGTAATGCAGTGAAAAGAGCATTAGAATTGAAACCAGGAGACCCCAATTCTTGTCTAGGCTTTTTCATTAATTTACTATGTGCCCTGATGTTCTTTCTAGCACTAACATTCTATGGTTCTCTGAAATGCATAAGTACATGGTTGGCCTTGGGATTGACCAGCATTTTTGACCCGAGAAGTTCAGCGATGGCTCTCCCAACCGAAGGAGCCTTAAGTCCAGCTTAGTGCACTGTGTCAGACCAGACTACTTGGTAACCTTGAGGATCACAGGCTGATGTCCCCCATAAGCCTACCACTGACGTGTTCAATTGTGCCATTTATCTGAGAGGTAATGTGATATAGTAGATACATAGCTGGCCTCAGAGTCAAGAAAACCAGGCTGCAAGCAGAGCCTTTGTTATATACTGGTTGTGTGACACTAGATAAATCATCTAACCTCTAATCGACTATAAATTGCACAACAGATTATTGAGAGATGGAAATTCCTCACAAAAATTACACATAAAATTACAAGTCTAGTCCAGAAAAATTTATTTGAACTAAAACATTAGGTTTCAAAATATCATAGGATCACAAGCTTCAAGCTGAAAAGAATCTTAGAGATAACGTGGTCCAGCTTCTTCATTTTGCAGATGAAGAAACTGAGACCCAGATAAGTTAAGTAATTTGACCAAATTCTTTCAGGTATTTTATCAAAGATGAAATCTGAACCTAGGTCCTCTGACTTAAACTCCAGGGGCTAATGCCCTCTGTACTACTGCCGTGGAAAGGTTATCACGTCAAATCATTAATAAGTAATTATAAGTTTATTTCTGAGATTTCTTTTTCCACAAAGAACCAAGTGATTGTGGGACCTCATGGGAACAGGACACAGAAGAAGTAGATTCTGATTGCCAACAAGGTAGAGATTATGTTTAGAAAATAGATTCAGACTTGTAGATAAGAACCTACTACAACAGTAGGAGATTGTGAATACCTGTAGACAACCTAAAAGTCAGTGCAGTTTTGGGGTGGACATAATAAAAGAAGAACCATGGAAAGAGAGAGTTGACATATTCCAACTTTGCCTAGGGCTGACCTTACTTATAAGATTACCGTATCACAAAACCTTAAATTAGGTGCAATCTGTGAACTCCCCAGCAACATTACTAATTCAATAAGTCTTAAGGGAATTCATTTTTTATGAGAATACAGCATTGTAATAGCCCTTTGGTAATCAGTATTGAATATTACCCCTGTACATCCTCAATGGGAGACCTGGGCCATCAATAAATAGAGGAATGTATTTTCTTTCTTGCTTGCTTTTTGGTGAGGCAATCAAGGTTAAGTGACTTGCCCAGGGTCACACAGCTAGTAAATGTCAAGTATCTGAGGCTGGATTTGAACTCAGGTCCTCCTGACTCCAAGGCTGGAGCTCTATCCACTGAGCCACCTAGCTGCCTCGAAGAATGCGTTTTCCATTAGATTATCAGTAGGTAAGGTCTCCACTTTGAACCCATTATATTCTCAAGATATATTATGGCACTTCTTGGTACTTGGGTCAGTTGGATGGTGGCCTCACTCATGGTAAAGCTACTTGGCTCTAGACGGTTTCCAATCATTCTCTTATTTTGAGAAGATCACTGAGACATAAAAGCCTCTGAAAGTAGAATATGAATGTCAACTCACTGGAGCTCATGACAAGATGTGCTATCCTTTGGTGTTGTTTGTTGTTGTGTTGTATCAGTCGTGTCTGACTCTTTGTGACCCCCTTTGGGGTTTTCTTGGCAAAGAGAGTGATTTGCCATTTCCTTCTCCAGCTCATTTTACAGATGGGGAAACTGAGGCAAATAGGGTTAAGTAACTTGCCCAGGGTCACTCAGCTAGTAAACATCTGAGGTGCTATCCTTAGACCATCTTTATTGAGTTACCCTAATTTCTCCACTTTTTTTTTTAAGGAATCTTCCTGTGATTCTAAACTGGGTGAAGACACAGAAACCTGGAGTCCTGGGTGTCAACATCATCACATCTGACTTCGTCGACCTGGTGGACTTTGCCACAACTGTCATTGAGTTGAATAACCTCCTTCTACAAGGGGACAGAGCTCTGGCTAAATGCTGACTTCTGTTTTACTTAACTCCGTATTGAATTTATTGATTCAGGGCAGAGTTTTGACAGGTGTCCCTGCCAATGGTAGTAGTCCCTGGGCAGATTTTTGCAAGTGAATAAGAGGAGGCCTTTTTTCTTTATTCATAGGGCCTGTTGAGTAATGTTGACAATACTATCGATTTCAGTTTTCCACATAAATGAAGCTTTTGACATCCTGGAAAGTCCAAGGGGGAGAAATCCCACTTTAAATAATCAATGTCAGAGTTCATTTTACTGGATTGTAGGATGTATTCATTGGTCGGGAATGTAGATAATGGGGGTCATCAGGGTATTTTGTGTCCATTGTCAGGTTTTTTTCTCTGTTGTCTTTCAAGATGTTGTTTGTTCCAGTAAAAGGCCTGAAGCTCAAGTGGGCATCCCTGATCAGAGAAACATCCAGTCCTGAGTGTTGTCTGTCCTGTGGTAGATAGAGCACCAACCTAGGACTCTGATGGGGTCCCCTCAGTAAGAGAAAAAGAGCTGGTGTTAGGAAGGGGGTTGGGCAACAACCCTCTTCTTCTAAGAGCCAGCCAGTAGGACTTAGCATGGTGGTGTTAGTAAGAGGGCTGCTATTGTAATGCTTGCCCTGGGCACATGCTAACCGATTTCCTCAGAGAAATAGGGCCCGGAGGTTTAGGTAACAGGTGTATTTTACAGTCCCAAAACATTACTTCCTTTCCATCTGTTTTGTTTGGATATAAAAGAAAGAAAGGGAGCAGATAATTTTAAACATGGGATTGAGAAATGGTTAGATTTGCATGCTTTCTCATCTCTCTCTTTGTTTTGTTTTGGAATTATTTCCCAGTGGACTTCCAGTTGAACTCTAAATCATTTTGGCAGAGGCCTCTTTGGAGCAGTGTCTTCAAGCCAGCTACTGAGGTCACGGTCAACTCTGGAGTACATCTGGGATTGGTATCTGTCTTTTGTGACATCATGCCAAGAGAATGTACTAAGTGGTGATGCCATAATAAACGGAGGCAAAATCATGATTGAAAAGTGTACTGGCATTACATGGACATGTTCCAGTTGGGTTTGGAGCTATTCTGTGATTCTTTGGAAACAAGACTACCTCGGGGACATTTAGGATGGTTTGCGTGTCATTCAAAAAAAAAAAATGAAAAGAAAAGAAAAAAACAACACACCAGTATTAGGAGAGTCTCGTCTTAATTTCCCTATTTGATTAGCCTCCTCCAGGATGTTTGGAGTTAGGCTAACCATCAATAGATGAAGGGCTTTGAAATTCAAAAGAAAACTTTTATTGAGTGATAAGAGGTGCTTAAGAGAGCTCTTTTCTCATTTTATTCATGTATTTATTTACTTATTTATACACACTATATTGACAGTGCTTCCTAGGTCAGAAGTGCTCACAACGGATCTTCCAGGACTCCTTCCTGCCCAAGACAGATAAGTTTGCTATTTTTCCCTAGGATGGCAGGACCACCTTTCTCAATACAGCTGTGTGTGATTCTTCGTCTGCTGTTGACCTTCACTCTATGCTGCCCTTTCTCTTATGCTATCTAAGGACTTTTGTGAACTTGGTAGACTTTCCAGAACCATTCTTGCTGCACCAGTGCAACAGCGGAGGAGGAAATGGATGATGAGAACCACCACTTCTCATCTCATCTGTATCTCATCCTGTTCCGGAACAGGACTGAAAAGTGAATGCCAGCTGGAGAAAACAGGGAAAGATAGTATGTATTTCTACCCGTCTGTACCTGGGAGCAGCAGGGAATATTCTAGAAATGGCGACCTCTGGACCCTAGAAGAGAAAGGAAAAACCCAGATGCCAAATGTATGTGGGTTTTGGTGGGGAGGGAAGGGAAAAGTACACACACACACTGTACAGTGTGTCTTGGTCTTTCTGGACTTCTCCTTCAATTGCTTTTTGAGTTGTCCCTTTGTTGCAGATAGCTGGAATTTCTCATTTGTCTGCAATGGGAGTATCCAGCCAGCTGCTAAGAAGATAACTCTTTATTCTTGAGGTTTTTTTTTTTTTCCCTCTAGCTTTGTTACAAATGCCACTTCTTCAGAAAAATGGGAAGTTCAGATGCTCAGTCTGCAGACCCTGAGTAGGTCTCACCCACCCTGTCGAAGGAATCTATCTTTCCTTGACTTGGAATCTTTCTTTAGAAGAAGTAGTATCTGGAATTATTCTGTTAAGGGAAAAAAAAAGACAACAGCAAAACAAAAGGTATTGTTACTTGGGAATGAGGGGAGCACTGGTGCTCCTTTTCTAAATCCTGCTTCAATACAAACGGACCAGGTGAAAAGGAGGAGACACAGGTCTTCCATCTGGTTTGGAGAAGTTGCTAGGAGTTGGGCCATCAGGCTGCCAATTCACCCTCTTATAACATGGTATAATGACAGGGAGGCTGGGGTAGGACGGCTTGTTCTCCCCTGTTTTATTTGAGCCTCAGCCGCGTCAGTGCCACGGTGCTATGGGGACAGGTGTTCCTGGCATTAATGAATAGAATGCCAGTGACATCCAAGGGCTCCTTACTGATCAAAGAAATGTTTACTTGATTTTTCCCCTTTACTGTTTTGTTCTGTTTCATTTTAAACATGTCATTGAGTTTCATTTTAATCATTTCCTGCTGTCTTGACCAAGCGGACTTCAGATTTTGGATGAATAAGAGAAAAGTTCTCAAGCATGCTACCAAAGTACAGAAACCGGCGACTGCCCACATGTATATGGCAGGGTGCTGGAGATCATTATTGCCGCTGTGGTTTGTCATCCTTGTTTACATTTGGGAAACATTCTGTCTTGGAGTCAGTGGGATGGGGGAAGGGGTTGTGATTTATAATTCTGCTGTAAACACTGGACCCAGATTTGGCTGCCTCTCAGCCTCAGGAAAAGGTTAACACAGATGTTAAAGGATATTTGCGTTCTGTTCCTTAACCCTGTTGCTAAGCAGCAGAGTGGAGGGAGAGGATGAGGAGAGGGCAGGGGATTGGGGAGGAGAGGGACTTTGGTTTGGGTTAGTGACCTATTATCCTGTGTCTGCCATAAGAAAAATGGCCCGACCACATTACTTACTCTTCCAAGTTGTGTGGGATTTAAAAAGCAAAACAGCACTTATGCTTGATTAGAACTGAATATTGTTGACTCCACAATCGGCTAAACGTTTGCTTCTGAGCCAAACAGGAACCCAGTTTCCTAAGATCTGGGGCCGCATTTCTTTGGAGATGTAACTTGAATATCCCTTGAGCTGCCCAATCTAATTGCCCATTGGCAGATAAGGACAGTTATCCTGGGTTGCCCATCATTGTTTACAAGATTGGACTTTTGATCCTACTGGCATACCACAATGGTTCATGAAGATGTCCCCAGGGTTAGAGAGAGAGATAGGGATAAGGTTAGGGTGAGAGGGTGGTGAAAGAATCAAACATTAACATTTAAATTAAGATAGCTGTCAGAGGCTCTTTGCAGAGAATATTGAAAAACTCTTGCATCAGACTCTAGAGGGATTGTTTGAGTCAATGCTTCTTCAGTTTTGTAGTCCCATGCTGCAGAAATTCTTGGTGGTACATTGGTCACTTTGGCCAAACCCAATAGTTTGCATCAAACTCCAAGAAAAGCACAAGAAATCTGATAACAAGAAAGTCCAAGCTCCGTAGCATCCTAGGGTTCCCTCCTAATTTTTCCCTGATCAAACTCACAACCTCATATTTAAGAAGCACACATTTCTATAGGAGAAGGACTTAATTGTTTCACAGGAGCCACTAGACCAAGCAATTAATACAGTGTTCTGCATTTGAAACAAAGTCAGTGTACACTGATGGGGCCAGGCTAGTGAAGCATTGCAATGAAATGCCGTCATGATGTAGTCTTTGTCTTTGCTTCATTTGGATTGAACCATTAGAAAGTGTTGTACCTAAGGATATTAAAACCATACCCCTTGGTGGGGTGGGAGGGGAGGATGGAGTACCATTAAACATCTCCATTCAACATGAGGAGGTAAAAATTCGCTGAATCCCTCCTTTACTATCACCCTTTGAATGCTTAGGAGGGTTTCTTATAGGCTGGTAGAAGACTTGGATGGATACCATATGGATATATCTCCAAGTTAAAAGGGCTTGGGAAAGAGAATAGGCTAGTGAATGAGGCCCCTAGCACTGACCTTCCAGGTATGGCCATGCCATCTCTTTTCACTGTGATTTCAGCTTTGTGGAAGGGCTCAGCACTTAACACAATCCCTAGCATATAACTATCACTTAATAAATGCATCTTGACCTGGTTTGGGGTCAAAGTTTTGTCCCACAGCATCCCCCCTCCCTCACCAGTTTATAATGAGGGATGCCTTTTGCCACTAGATAGTTTGAGTACTTGAAGATCCTCATATGGAAGGCAGATGAAGAATAGGTTTCAGAGAAGCCATGAAAACTGAGCGATTCATGGAGTTCAGTGTGTGAAATGCCCTTGGTAACCTAGGAGCTAAATGTGTGGGCATGGTGAAGACTGTTCTTCAGCAGTGTACTGGGAGAACATCATGGAGTAGGCACACTTCCCCTAAAATTTTTTAATTGTCTGACTGATGACAAAACATATATGGGCATAGTACTTCCACAAAGTTCTGCAAATATCCCCTGACTCCATCCTTCTGAGTTATTTAGAGAAAAGAGTTTACAAGAATTCAGGTGGATAATCGACCATTAAAAAATCTCTGGTCATTCCACTCAGTGTGGCCAGTGTTTTGAGTCCTGGTTTAAGGTTGAAGTTATTTTAATTTCTTATAGGGCCAGTTGAAAAACCAGGGATTGAATTTCATTTCCAGAGAAATGGCAGAAGGTGGCAAGGGAGGACTAACTGTAGGGTAGGGCTAGGTATTTTCTTAGCATTAAGATGTAAAAATGTGCAGGATCAGGTGCTGAGAGGATAAACCATTGATGAAATGCTTTTAAAATCATGAGAATTATTATTCTACATTAAAAACATTATAAGAGTGGAAGGAAAGGGTAGAGATAGATGACAAGAAGTGAAAAGGGCTGCTGGGATTTCCTCTGTGATGGCCCAACTTTGGCCAGCGTGGCTAATCTTCTGACCAGCACCACAATTCCTGATGTTATCAGCTAGACTTTGCTCAAATAGTGAGGCTTTGCTCCTATTCCTTCTGAGGAAATCTTAGCATTAGGCTTCCAATCCTCTATTGAAGTGACTGCCAGCCCTGAAAAAAATCCATGCCAATCCCTCCCTTTCCTTGCTGATCTCTCTCTTTACCCAACTGTTTGTCTGCTTCCTCCTCCCAAGCCTTCTTCTACAGGAATAGAAGGTTCTGGGCGACAAAATCACCCGGCTTTATGGGAGGCAGAGAAAGAGGGAGGGAGGTAGGGAGGGAATCCACCAATGCACTGTCAGCATGGGCATTAGCATCCATAATGGATACAGAATCCTGCAATGAGCTGCAGAACATTCTGTGAAACAAGGAGGGGAAAACAAGCTTGGAATAAAGAGAGAACACTAGAACACAAACTTGGTAACATGAAACACCTGATGTGGAACTAAGTTTTTCTTTAAAATGTATTTGTCTCTTTAAAAATTCTGTTTATTTTCCAACAAGCTACTGAAGACTTTTTCTTTCCTGGTACTTAACATCAGGGACAAGCACATTGGGCGACACAGGACTTGTTGGAGTGGCATGAGAAAAATAGGTTAGTAGAGGTAGAAACTAGCTTGTCACTCCACCCCCCAAGTAAACTTGAACAATTCCTTTGCAACCCCACGAGTCCTCTCTTCAACTTGTGGTTTTCCCAGTTTCCCTCCGGAGAATGGCTTCACTGCCCAATGACCCTATGACAGTACTGAGCTGGCCCAAACCCAGAAGAATATGGTGTTGACACCCCTCCCCTACATACACTTTTCTTAATACAATACTATGCTGGAAAAAAACTCACCTCCCTCTAACCACTTCAAAATTAAGTTTGAAGATGACCCTGGGTTGGCCCCATCCTATGGTATTTACTGTTGGACAATCTCACCAAGAGAATTTGTTCACATGACTCCTTCAGCCTGTCTCCAGACCAAACTGGTTTCGATGAGGTTTTGCAGTTCTTATCTGTTGGAACCTAATCCCTCAGTCCCCAGATATAACTCCATCACTAGAAGAGTCCTATCTCATCGCTTTCCTGCAACACCATTTTCTGCTCTTTAGTCTCATCCAACTTCCACTACCCGCCAAACGCTCTGGGTCACAGGAGGTCAGGAAGAACCTGTATTAACCAAAAGGAAGCGCATGCCCAACCTAAACTACGTATGAGCACAGTTTTTTTCTGATAGCAGTCATGTGACCCTCACTCTTATTTTCATTTAGCCCTTCTTCCCCATCTCCCCCCATCCCCATTCAGGTCTCTACACCTCCGCCTATCCTGGCAACAGTCCAGGACCTGGGAGGGTGGAGGGAAGGGGAAAGGTTAATATCCAGTTTAACCAACAAGGGCTGGTTTACAAGTCTAGATAATGTAAGAGACAGCACTTTTAGACATCAAATGGAACTTACATAGCTTTGAACATTTACAGTTTACATTACTAGAACATTAATAAATGCTTCCGTCATGGAACTGCAGTATTCATATAATAGCTTGTAGTAGGGACAGATTGTGTTACCAGTGATTGCTGCTAATATCCTCCTTACTACTTTATACCCTAATACTAATATACATTGAGTAAAGTGTTATCTATATGCAATTTGTACAATGTGTATACCTATTGTCATCTCAGTTAACCTTGCTGACCAGATATGAGTTAGAACATAAACAAACTGTAATGGTGAAAATAAGTGTTGATCTTTTTTTTTTTAAATTGTGAAATTAATGATGTACTGTACTAGCTGTTGTAGTTTGTCCTATATTGGCTGTATCACATTTAAGTGCATGAAACAGAAGGAATGATATCTGATCTAATAATTAAAGGAAAAGTTTGCATATCTGTGCACTTTCATGTTAAAATGTATTTTGTGGCTTAACTATATTGTATTCTGCATTTCATTTGTTTTTGTTTCTCTTCAAATAATTATTCAGTTCAGTTTATTCTCTTTTCCCTTTTCCTGACAGAATTATGTAATTTAATTCTGCATTGTTAAGCCAGAATACCTCATTTTAACTGTGAAGATGTTATTTTTAAAGGCCTATCATATAACTTTTTTTTGATTGGTTTGTTTTATGTTGAATTTTATTTGAATGACCCAAAAAAGTTTTCAACTGTGACAATAAACATCACATTTTGGCACACATCTCTTCTGTGTTGGTGCACTTTAGTAATTGAGATATTGCTTATCTTAACACAGAATTCATTATTGACTCAACTCTCAGGAAAATATGTACTGTGACTGTGCTAGGTTAATTTGGAGATCCATCTCTTTAGCATCTAGCACTAGGATCAACTGAGTATGTCTGGAATCTCTAGCATCATCAGGAAAGGAAATATGTAGATAACCTCCAAGTCTCAGACTAAACCATATCAGAGCTACTAATAGGGTAGGAGGCACAGCATTTTGTCCCAAGGTAGAGAAATTGTAAGGTTCTGACAACATAGACCCAGGGCATTTCTGGTCTGCTCCAGCATCCTCTGTCCTTCTTAATCACTTCAGCAAATCCCCAGTGAATCCAGACCATAATATCTCCCACTGCCCTATCTCCCCCCACCCACTAATTGCCTCATTGATATTGATGGCTTTGAACCCCGTGCATATGCCCTTCTAAACTTTTTCTTTTGTTAAGTTCTTGGCACCTTATAGGCATACCTATATATTGTGCTTTGCCTCATTGCACTTCACAGATAATTGTGGGGGTTTTTTTTGTTTGTTTTTGTTTTTGTCTTTTACAAATTGAAAGTTTTTGGCAACCCTGAATTGACCAAGTCTATTGGAGCCACTTTTCCAACAGCATGGGCTCATGTAAGTGTCTCTGTCACATTTTGGTAACTCTCACATTATTTCAAAATTTTTCATTATTATTATTATATCTGTTATGGTGAACTGTTATCAGTGATCTTTGATGCTACTATTGTAATTGTTTTGGGCTCCACAAACCACATCCTATAAGATGACAAATTTAATTGATAAATGTTGTGTGTGTTCTGATTGCTGCAGGGACCAGAGGTTCCCATCTCACTCTGTCTCCTTAGTGCTCCCTATTTCCTGAGATACTGAAATTAGGCCAATTAATAACCCAACAATGGCCTCTAAGTACTCAAGTGAAAGGAAGAGTCAATCAATGTGGCAAACTTCATTGTTGTTTTACTTTAAGAAATTGCTACAGCCACCCCAACCTTCAACAACCACCACCCTGATCAGTCCGCAGTCATCAACATTGAGGTAAGATCCTCCACCAACAAAAAGATTAGGACTTGCTGAAGGCTCAGATGATTTTTAGCATTTTTAGCAATAACATATTTTTAATTAAGATAAATTAATTATTTTAATTAACAATTATTGCTTTTTTAATCAATTTTTAAAAGATATGATATTATTGCACACTTAATAGACTACGACATGGTATAAACAGAATTTTATATGCATTGGAAAACCAAGAAGTTCATGTGACTCACTTTATTGCAGTGGTCTGGAATGGAATCGGAAATATCTCCAAGGTATGCCTGTACCACCCTTACCATTGCCACAGCCTTCATGAAAGCCATGACTCTACCTGACCACTCTCTCCCTCTGCTCCCTCTGCCCCAGTCTACCTTGTGTCACTTTCAAATGTCTCGGGATAGTTGAGGATAATGAGATCTGAAGAAGCAAGAACACATTTTCCTAGAGGAAATAAAGTTGAGAATGCACTTCCTAGTCCAGTGGAGTCACTTAAGCAGCCAGGACTTGGTAGCCCTGGGCAATTCTGCAAAAGACTGGAGAAGGAAAGATTTAGGGAAAGAGATGCTAAAAGGGGAGGAGGAAGGGCACTGAATAGAAACTTAGAAAAATTGGCCTACATAATCTCTTCTAACTCTTAAAAGCAACTACAATTCTATTTCACTATTTTATCTTAAAGCTTGGCTTGGTTGGAGGTCAGAAGACCAGAGTTGAAGGAACCTGGAATCCAAGGATCTGGCTTTGAATCCTGTTTCTTCCACTCACTAATTGTGTGACCTTGGTTAAATTTTTTAACCTCTCTTGGAGTCGGTCTTTTCTTCTGCAGAATGAGGTTGAATTAGTTGACCTCTAAGGTCCCTTCCAGCTTTAAATCTATAAACTAATCATCCTTACCTCTACTCACTGGGAGGACAGGAAATGAACCTTAACACCGTCTCACCTACATTTGGTCAATATTTACTCAACCCCAAACTATCTTTTCTCAGTGGAAGAGCAATTCCTCAACTGGCAAGAATTTAGGGAGTACCACTGCTACAAAATCCAGGTGCTATGCTCAGAAAGGGAGGAGAAAATTCATTTATCAACCTCAGAAATTGAATCTAATAACAACATGGTCCCTGAGGAACAGGATGACTGGATAGACTGATTTTATTTACTTTTCCCCCAAGTTCTTCCAGATCAGTAACACATTCTTTTATCTTATATTTTGTCCATCTCCTTTCCATAGCCATGGGAGCATTGTTAACTTTAGGGTGACTCAAACAGTTCTTAGAGATTGGTTCGACAATGGTGAGGAAGAGAAAGAATATGAAAGCCTCAATGAAGCCGACTTCACCCAGGATGACCTATGCATGGATGCAAATAATAGTAAAGCATAATACTGGGACACACCTAAGGTATTTTTTTTTCTTCTTTTCAGTGTCATTGTGCTGTCTCATGTGGCAGGTTACATCTGCTGTCCTAGAGAGGCATTTTGATTAAGAGGGGCCTATGTAGAGCAGTTGGTTTTGATCAAAGGGACAAAGGGTCTAGAAAATACTGTGAAGCCTCAGGAAGGGGCTTCATGTGCAATGGAATGTTTTATAAAACTGAGAACTTACTTTTGGCCTTAGCAGTTTACCTTGGACATCCACTGGTGCTTTGGAGAAACAGCAGCCTTGCATTGCATTTCTAGTGCTATTGGAGAATTGGGAAATGACCTTGCGCTTTTGTCCTTGCCACCATCCACTCCTCTACTTCTTTCTGGATCCTACTCCATCCCCTTCCATCTTCTCTCATTCTTTTCCACTTTGATTATTCTCTCTCTCTCTCTCTCTCTCTCTCTCTCTCTCTCTCTCTCTCTCTTATCTTTGATCTCTTTTTCTCTGCTGGGGCCTCCCATGACACTTAAAAAAACAGTTTATTAAACCCTGCACATCAGTTATTTCTTACAACTTTTCCTTCTGTTCCCAAAGAAAAAGTCATTTTTTACACTTGTTACCTACATTTCCCCACCATCCATTCATTTCTCAACTCCTTGCCCTGTGCTTTCTTACTGACCAGTAAGCTAAAACTGCTCTATCTGTGGTCCCTGATTATCTCTTTCACACTCAGAACTTTCCTCTATATTCTTCCTTCTTGACTTCTTGCTGCTTTTGACACGATTAGCTATGATCTTCTCCATCTATGATCTCCTGCCTCCACTTTCATGACATTGCTATCTTCCTATGTTCCTATGCTATGTTCCCTTCCTACCTCTCTAATATCTTCTCAGACTTTTTTATTGGACCATCATCCATTAGGGTGTAGCCCCCAACTCAAGGTCATTTCTTGGAGCTACTCTTCTTTCTCTCTGTTCTCTCTTTGTGATCTCATCCACTCACATGAGTTCAATTATCATCTCTATGCAGTTGACTCCCCAAATGACACATCAGCCCAACTCTGTCTAAATTCCAGTCCCATATCACCAAGGAACAGCTGGACAGTCACATGGAATGTTTCACAGTATGTCTTAAACAAAAATATATTATCATTCCATCTAAACCCAATCCTCTTCCTAGCTTCTCTATCTTGGCCAAGGTCACTTTTCATCCTTCTGATCACTCAGGTTCATAATCTCAGAGCCATAGAACCATAGATTTAGATTTAGAAGAGGTCCTAAAGGACATCTAGCATGATCTGTTATTTTACATAGGAGGAAACTGAGGCCTTGAAAGTTTGAATGACTTGCCCAAGGTTACATAGGCAGTTAAATAGCAGAGCCAAGATTTGAACTTAGATCCTAAAAGCATTGTTTCCACAAAGTACCACAATGAGTAATTCTCAACCCTCTCCCATTGGCAGATCCCCATTACTGATGTATCTAATCAACTGTCAATCTTTATTCTACTTCCACAAAGTCTGTCATATCCATCTGCTTCTCTCTATTTGTATGGTCCACAACCCTAATTCTGGCCCTCTCTATTTTTCTCCTGAATTATTTCGGTAGCCTCCCAATTGATCTCCCTGTTTCCTCTATCTTCCCTTTTCAATTTATCCCCTAAACATCTGCAAAAATAGTATTCCCAAAGTGTAAGTCTGACCGTGTTACTCTCCTAACCTTCAAATAGATCCCTATTGGATAAAATGCACACTTTTCGGCTTTGCATTTCAGCTTCACAATCTGACTCCAAACAACATTTCCAGACTTATTTCACATGACTCCCGTTTCATGCACTCAGCATTCCAAACAACATGGCCTGCTTGCTATTCCTGGAACTCAGAATTCTATCTTCCACCTCCATACCTTTTCACAGCTACCACCATGTGCCTGGAATGTACTTTCTCTTCACCTACACCTCTTCAGCTCCTGTCTCCTTTAAAAATTAACTTAGTAATTACCTCCCCATGGAAGCCTTTCCTGATCCCAATAGTTGTTAGTTCCCTTCCTCTCGTCAAATTATAATTAGTTTACATGTCATATCTCTGTAGTATAGTGTGTAGATCCATGAGGGACAAATTTTCTTCCTTGTATCCTCAGCTTTCTGCCTCAGTGACTTGTTCTAATGAATTGATTAATGAATTAAATTGAATTTGAATTGTCCTGTGCATATGGTCAGCATAATATTGTGTCTTTAAGGATGATTATAAGAACAAATTGTTCATTTTTTGCATCAATAGCTTGAACCTCCCGGTCTTTCCAATTCTGAGGATTAAATTGAAATTCTTACTGCTATTAGGGGGCTTCTTTTTCTCCTGCTTATATAAAATAAAATTGTTTTATTGCCAATAAACCAAGAAGTATCCAAATGGGCCTAAGAGATGGGCATCAAGATAAGGAGAACAATTGAAAGCACAGGACCAAAAATAAAATAAAATAAAATAAAATAAAAGATGTAAGATAAGAAGAAAGCTCGCAGTTGCAGTGT